CTTTAGAACAGTATAACTGTTTTAAAATTGGACTTAACGACTTGAGTGTTTTTTAGAAGTTAGAAGGATACTAGATGACGCGTATAGAAATTTTTGAAAAAATTGCAATCTGTGGAAATTGCGAAGAAAATTGCAAAGGTCACATTCGACAACTTTTTGTATCTGAGCCCGTAATGAAAATTTTGAAAAATAGGTTTTGCAGATTAGTGCCAATTGTACGCATGCTGAAAATTTCATCGAAATCGGTTAATGTTACTACGAGCTACAAATCGTTAAAGATTGTGAAAATCGTACTATTTCACGACGTTCGGCGTATAATTGTAATAAATCTGAAGATTCCTACATCTTTCGATGCCTGTCGCTTGTTTCTCCATCTACCGATTTCGATGAAATTTTCAGCATGCGTATAATTGACATTAATCTACAAAACGTATGTTTTAAATTTTCGTTACAAGCTCAGGTAAAATAGTTGTAAACAGTGACCTTTACAATTTTCTTCGCGATTCCCACAAATTGCGGTATTTTCGAAAAATTTTACACACGTCATCTAGTGTACTAATCCTTCTAACTTTTCAAAAAAACTCAAGTCGTTTGATCCAATTCAGAAAAAGTTATACCGAATATTAGTAAGAGTCACTGTACCTACACGGTGTCCTGGAATTTTTGATCACGAGTAGAAATAAAAGGAAAATGTTATTACAAATGTAGACTCTCTTCGAAGAAATGAAATTTACTTCTAAATCACACTTGATGAAACTGGTAGATACAGTTAATCTAAGTTAGAATTTTTTTTATTATTGATACCAAAAGAAACGCCACATAAAGAGCTTTACATTCACTTTTATAGACAATCCTTACATTATTGGTTTACTACTTCTCGAGGTGCTTGAAGTTCCAATTGACAATTGTAGAGAGTTTTTTTAAAAAACTGGTTCATAAAAGTTAGAACATTCTTTCGAGAAGTGTAAGTACACTTCGTCAACGAGTAATCAATTACCGATAACAACAGAAAGTTTCACGCTTTGTGCAATTTCTACACATGCAACAATGCAACGAAGGACTTGTTCTCCTTAATTTCTCGATATTACTACAATTCCTCTTGCACAATCGGATCCCCGGAGTCGCATAAGTGTAACGATTTCTCAGTATCGTTCGCCACGTCGTCGACCATCGAGGGCTTGACGGTGAGTGGAAAATTTTTCGGATTCGTTATACGGAGAAACCGCGGTGCGTCGCGGAGGGTATCGAGTACAACAGGGCCGACGACGAAGAGGGAACGAAAAAGAAAACGGCGGCCAGAGGATGTCGAAGTGCAGTGTCGACAAATTCCTCGCTCAACAAAATGGCCAATCCTATCGTCGTCGTCTTCGCCGTTCTATTCCGGGTCTTCGCGACACTTGCCGTCTAGACCAACAAAATTCTGTCTGTCTTGTCACCTTGGCCCGTTCGGTTAAAGCACGGATAGACCTTAAAGATTTCTTCGTTTCTTCTTTCGTACTTCTTAATCCACAGCCTCGATTAGAGAACGTTTCTTTTCTTCTTTATTCTGCTTTCGCCATCGACGTACCCCACGGATTTCCTTTCTTGCAACGAGTTCAACGGCTGTTTGTATTTCGTCGTATGCACGTTGAAGACAAGTAGGTATGTGTCGAGGAGAAAGATGAGCGTGTTTTTAAACAAACGACGGTGAGTACGATTTTATTATTTGGGAAATTGCGAAATAGACGATGCGACAACGGCGTGTTACCTTTGAAGTGACGATTGTGAAACGATTGAATTATTTTGAACTTCTTTCTTTTCGAAATATTGCAGCTTTTGTAACGATTCGACGTTGAGATTATTAACCTTCTTGCTGCGGTAGGTTCTAGTGTGCAACTTGCGTGGTAGACAGTAGGTGATCGAACATCTCCTTACCGTCCGCGAAATCTTTCGTTTTGGCTTTCTAAAATTTTTGTAAATTTAAAAATTTCAATCTAAAGTTTGTCATTTCATTAAGTTCTGGTCGAGGTGCGCTAAGGGCAAAAATTAAGGTGAGCAAGTCGCCAAAAATCGCGAAGAACACAGCGCGAGAGAATTTTCAAAGAGCCTGCAGGCGTGAACAGCAGTGAAAGGGTTAAAAGACTATTTTGTTTATATATTTACGTGAAAATTAGGCACGACGCGTTAATTAAATTTCCCGATTTTTAATCGAATAAAAATAGTTTACTTCTCTTGTGCTACATAATTTTTCGGATCGTGTAGAAGTTACGTAGCGTAAAGAGGTGAAAGGGGTAGCCGCTTATTAAAAGTTGGAAAAGTGCATCGTCTCGTGCACGACAAATTTGTTTCGAAGCGTCGCGAACGGGTGGAAAGGAGAAATAAAGGAAAAACGGGGGATGGTGGCAGGGGGAGACAGACAGGAAGAAGAGAGGGTGCGGCGAAGGCGCGCGAGAGAACGAAAATTTGATATTCATGAAGCATTTTAAAGTCGTGCCATCCGAGAAATGGGTATAGAATATAGACTGCTAAGCAGGGGTAGACTCGTAGACATTTGTGGAAACCTATTTAGATGCGAGTCCGTGATTCGCGCCGTCGTTCGCCGTTTCCCTCTGAACACTGGATCCTCGGTATCTTTACTTTTCGAAAAACATGAAAAGAGAAACGTGACCTGACGAGTGTAATTGTAATTGCGAGTTTAACAGGAGTAACGAAATTATTCGAGGAAAAATCTTTTATTCGATATGCAAATGTGTAATTACAGAGAGACATAGTTGTTATTATGCCAAAATCTGGTGCTTGCTGTTGTGTAATCACCGTAACAACATAGTAGATAATACCTACCTGATGTGTCACGTTTATTTGAAAGCACGTGCACGTATTATGGAATGTGTGCAATGTGAAAATAAAATGTTTTCAAAATGAATGTGTAACGTGAAAGTGTATACGTACATTGGTGCAGTTCATAAAACCTGAACTGCGGCGAAATATTTCCATTTCCGAGTAATTCATACATTTAGACAATTTCTATTTTCACGAGTAAAAGTAAGTAGATACTTCTCACGCGATCCGTAGAATCGACGACGAAAACACCGAGGCGTTCGTTACAAGTTAAAAAGAATCAATCATTGACACAAATCCTCCGTCAAACTTTTCCAATCTGAAACTTCTTAACGAGGAACCTTTCGATAAATTATCTCAAACCGGAAACCACTTTCCACGTCAATAATCACCAACATTGATGCACCACCGTGCGATGTAACACCTTCGTATTCATCGTCCTTAAACAACCCAGTCAACGTTCAACACCGTTGCTCGAAAAAGCAAAGAACAAATCTTGTTACCGACCGATAATGCTAATTTACCCTGTGCAATTACCTCGCGTATATTCTACTCTCTGAAATAAGGTCACGCGTATAATCTGCTACCTACCCCATCCGGCGGAAGAAGCGACGGGGATCGAACGCGAACAGCGTTTTTCCATTCATACCTACCTATCCCGAGGGAAACCGGTTCGACTTCCGCGTTACCTAATTCCAGGGTGCGCAGCGATCGTCAGCATATTTCGCAGGCATGCATCATTCCGGTGTTTCAGGTGCGTCGGTGTCGCGTAAGCCGCTAGGCGAAAAAAAGAATCGTACTCCGCCTCTTGATTCGAGATCGTGAACGCGCGATAACAGGTCACCACTTATATACCGACCGCCGCTAAATTGAAATCCCGAGGAAAGAGAAGCGGCTGCAAAGGATCGGTAGAAACGGGTGGTGCGCGGTCCGCGGCGCATAGAGAAGCAAGGTGTGGGTTGGGTGAGAGCGGAGAGGAGCACAACGCGTCCGCTGAAAAATTATAATAATCACTTTAGAAATTAATGGTTTCTCCACGGAGGCACGGGATCCGTGCCGGGAGTGACAAGGTAGGCAGGCGGCGGCGGTGCAGGAGAGGGGGCGTGCAAATGGCGACTCCTTTCGCGCGCCAACCAATCGCCGCGCGCGCCGGAGGGCCGAGTAACGGCGGCCACGCCCACCGGTGACGTTGCCCTGTCCTGCGCGTAGAGTCACTCTCTACCACACTGCTCCGAACAGTCACCACTCGGACGACGTATTCAGCGTAGCTTACCACGCGTCTTCTTTTTCTCTTTTCTGCCCGTATAGACGGAACCGTGGTCTCGCGACGTACATGTGCACCACGCGAGAAAAATCACGGCGAAAGGGAACGTGAGTTTCGTCAGAATTCTTCTGCACGGGTCGGTAAGACGTGTTGCTCGATTGGTAAAGTTTCGAAATAAGAATCGATGGTCGCGTATCGGTCGCGCGGCCAGCATTACATTTTGGCGGGAAGATCGCGGGAAAGTGTAGCGCGGGTGACAGTGTTGCCAGTGGATTATCGTTAAGGCGAACGACGCGGTGGACGTCCAAGTACGCGATTTGCAATAGTGTACAACGGTTTTGACAGCGAATTAAACAATAAATGGAATGATGGTGCGATGTATTGTACGTGGTTCGCGAGAGTGATCAACCTATCAAACCCTTAGAAACACCGTTCTTACCAACTGTTCTTTCAAACATTCAATTATCAACACTAACTGAATACTCGACATTTATTTTACTGTCTTCGATTGATCGTTTTTGGTTCGGTGGCTTACGAAACGTCGTTTGGCAACACGTATCCTCCTAAGGGGGCATTTTTATCGACGCGTTTAGTCGCTGATCGCGTCGGAGAGAATAGAACAATAGGAAATGGTGAATTGGACAGTGGATAATTGATCGTTCTGTTCACGTGGCGTATCATAATCGGTGTCACGTTCGCGAGAAGAAGATCGTGAGTAGTCGAGGTCTCGCGTCGTTAGGCGGAGTCGTCTGGAAAGGTGGTCACGACGCAACAAACGGTGACAAGTTGTCCAGGAGGTGGCGAGGGCGGCAGAGGTGGAGGAGGTGGTGGAGGTGGCGGTGGCAGCGAGAAGACGCTCCCGTATGCGGCCACATCGGACACGGTAGAGGAGGTGGAGGCGCAGGAGGTGGAGGTAGAGGTCGACGAGGTTAAGATGGAAGCCGAGGAGCATCTCGCGAGGGAATACGTACAGGAGTTCGTTCTCGATCATCTCGATCCCGCTGACGTTAAACGAGAGGTTAGTGATTCATTCTTTCTACTGAATCATCTCCGATAACGCTTTCTCGCGATTGGTTAATTATTAACAATTATTAATTTCTTTTTTTTATTTTTTTCACGAAACTTATGATAGATTTTCACGTCGCTTTTAAGCAGTGAAGGGATCGTTACCGTTGCGGTTTATCGATTTGACTAAGAATTAAGGCAAAATTTTGTAACTGTTGTAAATATGCGGCGTGGTCTCTGTAATTTGTGCTTTTTTTTTCGTTTTTGTGAATCGAAGTGTTTGAGAATCTTAGAGTTAGCGATGCTCATAGACACGACAAGTATTTATTCTGTGGAGATGTTACGGTTTTCTTTCAAAGTGTACGGTATTTATGTCGAATCAGTGAAAATAAATTCTTGCTGAAGATTAGTGGTGCAACTTTATATTGTAGTTACTTCTGACGTTTCTGAATTGCGAAGTGAGATTAATTTTTAGGAATCTGGGCAAAAACTACGAAACCTTATTTCATTAACTTTCTTTTGGCAGAGAAACTTACATAAAACAGTTGCTACGTACTTATTTATATGACAGAAATTATTGTGAAAGTTGACGAAGATTAATTTTTTTAATTATCTTAACAATTTGAAAAATAACTTTCACCGATTTAGACAGAAAGGTCATTCACAGGTTGGCGTTATCGTATCTGTTTAACGAACACACAGAGACGATGAATTAATTCGCGTGCATTATTATTTTGCCACATGTTGAAAATTTCCACTGACCCTGAGTTCGTGTGTGTAAATGTAGTCACGTGCACAGTTTGCATTATATAAGCTTGAAATTATTACGTTGTGGATTTGTATGATAAAAAGGGGAACACGTTGGTCCACGTGAGCGTTCAACGATAAATATTAAAACCATTGAGCAATGAGTGCCAAACTCAGTATTATTCGAGACTTTATTGTATTTCGGCCGGTACTTTTCGATTTGCTATTAACTCTAAAATTGTGTGAAACGTTAATCCTGATTCGTTGTGAAATCTTTCAAAAATGTTTGTATTTACTACGATAGTTTTCGACACGTATACAGATTTTAGTCTTTAAAATATTTTCAAGGAATATCGTAACTTAAACTGTCCAAGAATAATTCGTTAAGTGGAATAGTGCAATGTGATAATACTTCAACGTGAGTTTTGCTAATAAAAAACAAATTTACAATTTTCAAGTGTCGTGTTAGGTAACTGTACGATTTCTGTTTCTTACTTTTCTGCATATTTATGTAGTTGTGAATCATTTTTGAAAATTGCCATTATTTAAAAATGCATTCGAACTATTCTCACGCTGATTACTCAGGATGGCACACCACTTACTCCAAATACAACACCATCTGATTATTTCCAAGAATTTCATCATTTAGGTAGAACTGATTTAACCTGTTTTACACTTTCCATCCTTATCTACAGAAATGATTAATATTAATAATTAAAGCTACAATCAATTATCCACAAAGTTATACTTCAACTACCCCATCCTAATCATAAAGTACTCTCCTTACCGAGTAAGAAAATTCCCCCCAAAAGAAAGAACAAAACACCATTCACATGAAACGCAACAAAAAAGAATCGTTTAGTTAAAATTTAAAAATAATTCAATGGTTAACCAAGTGTAATAATTCTTCCATATTCCATGCTTCAGATATAAATCACCAAACACCATTCATACCAAACGAAAAAAAAATTAATTCTTCCATCATTCAGAATTATTAACTAACGCTTCCGCCATATTCCACGATGCAGGTACAAACCCCATTCACACTAAACTCAGAAAACAATCGTTCACTTTGTAGATAATTGAACGGTTAACCAACGATTCCTCCACAGTTCGCAGTCTTTGACAAATAATTCTCCCATGTTCCCTGATTCAGGTACGAATCAGCTCACCAATGATGGTGAACGGTAGCGTGGTGCAGCTACCTGGCCAGGTGCAAGCGCAGGGTCTGGCTCTGGCGCCCCTGACGCCGCCGGCGCACGAGCTCGAGCAACCGCATCCACTTTACGGGCAGCCGCACATTCAGGTGCAGCACGGCGTCCTGGTGAAGGCACCACCGGGTGCAGCGTCCCATTTGACGACCCTATCGCATCCTGGGACGCCGCCGGACACACCTCCGGTCTCGGCGTCGCCGCCGCCGTTGCAGTTGCACCGTGGCGACCGGGATTCCCGTGATAGGGGTCTGTTTCTGCACCTGCAGCAACCCGGCTCGATCGTCCAAGACGAGATGCAAGGTGGTACCGGAGGTATGGGCTGGTTGACGCAGTCCCTCAGACAGGAACCGCTCGACCTTAGGCCTCATTGCCCTCAGGAGCAAACCCCGGAACCGCATCCCGAAGCGTGGCACACCACGCCTACGCATCATCATTTCCAAGACCTGCAGCATCTGCAGCGTCACTCTAGACACACAGGTGAGTGAAGAGACTGTAGGTTTTGTCCTCTTGAAAGTATTTCTGTAACAAGGGTTATGGTTGAGATGCAAGGAATTTCAAGTCGTGTATGTGATAAATTCGAGCTGTTTGTATACGGCGAGAGAAATGCTGATGAGTGTGTTGTTTAGTTGTTAGTTGACTAGGAATTACCGAGTGTTCTACGGGAATTCGATTTGAGTGGAAGGGATGTTACGTGGTCGTGCTTGTGACGGCATATAGGTATATGGAATGGAGTTGTAGTATCTTAGGTATGACAGTTTGTACGATGAAATCGAGTGTGTTCTCGTATGCCTGATACACGTGAGATAATGTTCGAAGCGTTGATTATATACAATATGAGCGTATCTACGTAACTTGAAAGTGGTATCTGAAGTGAATAGAGAGTTTCTGGTGGACGACGCATAGATAAAATATGCGGAAGCTAGGTTGCTTTAAGTTTGAAACCTAACCTTGCCAATAACAATAGCTAAAGAAAATGACAAAGAGAGAATTTGAAAATAAAATAAAAAAAAAAATAGAATTACATACCTACTTCTCGAAATCACTTATCGTTCAAAGAGAGGAGAACTCGAAGTCGACAAATGTTGTTGTCGCAGGTGGATACATCACGATGTCGGGCCACATAGAATACTATGGGGGTGCTGGTGCAGGCGGCGGGATGCTTCCCGCGGGCGGAAGTGGAATGTCAGGGATGGAAGACAGCATGCAGGGCATACCGATGCAACCGGGAAGACCGATGAGCGTTTGTTCAGTGAGTTCTTGTGGCGCTGGTGGACCCAGTCCAGCTCACAGAACTGGCAATGGTTTATATTCCAATTGTGGGAGTAACAATCCCCAGGAAGAACTCATGAACGACGAGCTGCTCATGTCGCTTTCCGTGCGCGAGTTGAATAAACGCCTCCATGGTTGCCCGCGGGAAGAGGTGAGTCAGGTCTCTTACTTTTTTAACGACACTTTCGCATAGGTAATGCCTCGCTTGGTTTTCATTCAGATTAATTTTCTTGCATTTCGTTTGCTATTTAATCATTTTGCATTTATTTCGTACTTTACATTGTTCACGTTCCTTTATACATTATACATATATACATATATACTACTTGTGACTCTGGTGTAATACCTTCTTCTTGGAAATTTCTGGTGAAGCAAGATTCTGATATAAGTGTTTGTAAACTGTTACAACTATTAGCGATAAGAACGAATGGATTTGAAGGGAATTTGTGGTGAATTGATAAAAAGCTGCTAGTATATTTGATAAGCGATCGTTTTCAGTGGAGTAGGTGTGGATTGGTATGTACGGCTGCAGTAGAATGAGTCGACCATCGGTCAGACACACGTAACCGCTGTCTCGTCGTAGCAATCTCTTTTTCAATACCTCTGCAATAATCATAAACATGCCTAATTGCCGACGTATCATTTACGATATCTTAAGGACTGTTGAAATAAGTTTTGCAAAACGAACAAGTGAAAATAAGAGAAATACAAAACTGTGCGCATCAACTGAAAGACACGATCTACACGAAATTTCAAAACTGTTGCCACACGAGAATAAGATTATTTATGAAACACTGCAACGAGTACATCGAGATCAGAGGAGATTATTTGAAATTAAACGATACAACCAACATTCATTTTGATTCCTTCCTGTCTCGTTCGATTTAGCCCAGTAATTTCTAAAGCTACTCATGTAAACTACCGTACAATTATATTACACTGTCGGCCAATATATGATAATAATTGAACGATGAAACAGAACAAGTATTGCAATATCGAGCAAATAATATCAATTCACTTAGCAACAAAATTGTTATACGCCTGAATTATCCATCAAATTCATTCGTAAAACGGATCCCCGTGTTCTGCGAAGGTGGTGCGTCTGAAGCAGAAGCGACGGACATTGAAGAACCGGGGCTACGCTCAGAATTGCCGCAGCAAGCGGCTGCAGCAACGTCACGACCTCGAGACCACGAATAGGAATCTGCAGAACGAGCTTCAACGGATGAAGATCGAACTGGCGCGGGTCCAGCAGGAGCGTGATCTTTACAAGCAACGATGCGAGATCCTGAGAACGCGGCAGAACCATAATCACAATCACAATCATAACCATCATCAGCAACAGGCGTCGCAGCCCCAGCAACAGCAGCCTCAACCGCAACAGCAACCGCCGCAGCAGCATCCGACGCAGAATCAGCAGCAACAGCCGCAGCAACAGCAGCAGCAGCAGCCGCCGCAACAGCAACATCAACCAGCACCTGCTAGTCCAGAAGTCTATCTGTGACATCGACAGCGCCGAGGAGGCGCTTGCTGGACCTGAACAGACATCCGTCGTACGATCGTGAGATTCTCGATCGGTGAGTGACAACAATTTTTATCTATTTCGATGAAAATTTCGTAATTTTCGTCACCGAGGATCTTCAAGTTTCTTTTCACAATTTCGTTGTTACTGCTATTGATAGTATATATAAAGTGGAAATTTCTTTTCGTCCCATTTTTGCAAGAAGATTGTGCTTCATTAGCAGTGTTCAATTATTTTCTGTCGAATATTTGTTTTTTTTTTTTTTTAATTTCTGTGTTTCTATATTTTTTATATATTTTATACGATTATACGCAAGTTCGAACTGTACACACAGTGTTACTTGTTACTTCTTGTGTTTCTGTCAGCAACAGTTCAAAGTGATTGTTCGAATGAGATTAAAGCCGTCGTTTAGATTTTCCATCGGATCAACTTGTAATCCCGCGTTAAATCCTGCGCACCATAATGAAAATCCTTTCGACTTTACGTCTTCGCATAATTGTAATCATAATCTTGTTGTTCCCCGAATGGTGGAAATCGCGACTGTTGATCGTCGTGTTTCTAAACATGCAACACTTTCCCATGTATTCTGTTTTGTTAACACGCGTATTTTTGGAAGCTAATTCGACTTAAAATTTCAATTTCCCTCGTCCCGAATACCTTTCGTTCGATCCTCGCGACAATTCACCTGTAGTATTGCACAGGGAAGGAAAATCGTAACGATAATTTTTTTCCAAAAATTTGTTCGCAGTGACATACCTGTGCGCGTGGGTTTGAAAAAAAAAGACCAGGCAAGCGACCGGGTGTAATTCCCTCGAGAGGCAGGAAAGTTCTTCTCTTTTTTTCTTTTTTCTTTTTCTCCGTTTTCTTTTTCCCTTCGTTCAATCGAGACTCAAGTCTTAAGCACATCTTTAAGCTCGTCTACGTGTATATAATATAATAGCGCTCGGTTCTCCATCGTGTTTCTTTTACACAGCTCTGTTAAAAGCCACGGCGACAAAGGAGCCTTGACTGTTTAAAACGACCGACTTTGTGAAATCGTGTATGGAGTTTATCAGCGCAACCTAAGGTATCATTAGATTAAAGGTAAAATTAGTTCTATTCTCATAGGTATATCGAATATATTGCTCGTGGTAGACTGGACGTCTTTACCAAAAAAAAAAAACAAAAAAAATATTGTACCAAAAAGAATAAAAAGTAAAAAAATACAAGCAAACCGTACTTTGTCGTAGCGCAAAAAAAAAAAAGTAATAAATAAAAAATACAGAATGGAGCGAGGATGATGCTTGCTGCGTCGAGGAAATCTAGCGTTTAAGAGAGGCTCATCCTGTTGTTTGTTATTTAATTTTCTAGCCGAAGCATAATTTCACGATACGAACGATCGGTTTGGATAGCCTTCGTTTCGCTGCTGCCTTACCATCTTACCTATCCTCTTACGTTAAATAAATTATACACGTATCATCGAGTATAGCGATTCGTTGGTATACAAGTTCCGAGATGATCTGATTTCTAGGCAGCGTATACAATAGTTTAGAGTGGAGAAACTTTACGAATTGCTATCCGTCTCGATCGTTCCTTATCCTTCCTCCTTCGTTTCTTCGTTTTTATATCGAAATAATCACGTGCGTGAAGTTATATTATAGTGTTTCCTCGAATCCTCGTTGTGCAATGCAACGACACGGATCGTGCGTTTTACGGATAGATCGAAGAAGAGAGCATTCTGGAGATTTGTACGGAAAATACACTTTCCAGTGGAATAGCCATGAATCGTTTTTCTTTTTTTTTTTTTTTTTTAGAGAATGACCAAATTTTACTTGGTCGTCGTTGCTTCATTGGTGAATAGATGAATACAAAAAAAAAGTGAAAATTCGCGTTCGTCGTGCATCCTTAGCGGTGACTATTTTCTCTTCTTTTTTCGAGAAAGTTTCTTTTCTTAATCGCGGTAACAGAGAGAGAGAGAGAGTTAGATACATATTTGCTTTTGTCTCGTTTACAACGTTTCGCGGTGCGAAATCTGAGGTATACTCGCGACACGAATCCGCGTTTTCCAGAGGCTAATTCGACTAATCAATGGGTTTCCGCTTCTATTAGTAACGTACGAGAGCGTGTAAAAGGCGGCGAGCGTCCGCTTTTCAAAGGGGGTTTCCACGCGACGGAGAACGCGAAATCCGATGGATCTCAATGAAAATGCGTAAACATAAGAATAGCGTGTCGGTACATTTTCGTACTGGACACCACGCGAACAGTGATATCGATTTTAGTACTTACGGCACAAAATGATCTGTATACGGTAGCTCGATAAATTATTGGCCAAATTTTAGGTTTTCTTTTTTAGGGGGATATATTTAGAGAGAAGTGAAGTGAGAGAGAGTGAGAGAGAGAGAGAGAGAGAGAGTGGGCTACGTTGTATTTTTTGCGTTGAACAGCGGCGTAAATTTTGCGAGGAGAATTTCTAGTAATTGCAATCGAATAATTCCTAGTAATTCACACTAACGTGTGACGGTAGTGTGAACAATTCTGGTGGTAAGCTAATATCTGAAAATTGAGATATTGTGAAAAAAAGAACAGAAGAAGTAGGAGAATTTTTAGCGAACGATTCTTTTTCGTTCTACGATTCCACGAGGGTGAAGATACGAGGTTTGTAGAGAGAGGAGAATTGATCAGTTTTTTTCATACAAAAATTACGCCACTGTCGTATCGGTTGACATATGAAGTATATATTATTGTTTTGTCGTGTTGGATTACGTTAGGTCGTTTCTGTCGACCATCAGTGTTTCCGATTCGACTTGTAAGAATGTTTTAATTCCCGTTACATCGTCTCATGTGTACATAAAATAATTATTATACTTCTTATTATAAATAAATGTCGATATCGGCAGTTTCAGATACACGCAGCTGTCTTTTTCACCTGTGCCCCTTAGTTTCCCTATCCTCTAGATATTAGACACACTAATTCGAAGGATAAGAGCAATTTTCATAGTCGAAGCAACCTCATAGCGACGTAGTCTCGTGTGAGGATAATCTCGACACTGGTTATCGTGTGAAGAAAAGGATAAGGGAAAGAAATGAAAAATGTTGTAGAGCTTATCAATATTTATGGTTCTATCTTTATTAAATCGTATTTTAACATTTCTGAGTTTCCAAATTTCAACGTTCCTAAATACCGAAATTTCCAGTTGAAAGTTAGAGGCATAAATGTTTCTTATCTCAACATCTCAAGGTTAGACGATCTATTTTTTTTTTTTTAGAGATAATTTGCAAATTTTCTGCACGAGAATAATTCTTTGGAAAAAATTAATCCGTGACGTAGTTATTACACAATTTACAACGAGTCTATGAAAATGCAGCCTTTCCTTTTGCACCAGTTTAATGAACATCGTTCTCGTTATCGATCGATGGAAAAATATAGAAATAGAGGGTTAGAATCGCTTAATTAAACTGGAAGGGAAAGCGAGCAAAAAGAGAGAAAAGAAGAGAAAAAAACGATCAAGAAAAGGTACGGAACGAAAAGTTCTGGTTAACGGCGGTTCGCATTTCGCGTGATTCTAGGTGTAACGTGCAATGTGCAGGCTCAGCATTTCATTTGAGAGGCAGACACGACCATTGGGTATGGAATCCCCTTCATTCTTTTATGCACCAACAAACCTCCTCCTCCCATCCATCTCTCTCTTTGCCATTCTCATTAACCTCACCGTTAAATAGCGAGCAACAAATATTTGCAACACGTGCAACCGCCAGTTTCGAATTACGGTGAATTCGACGCCTTCGCGGACTCGCGAACATTCTTCGCGAGTTGAAACATCGTCCTCGACTCTTTTTTTTTTTATTCTCTCGGGCTCGAATTTTTGCAGTTCATTCCTCTTGAACGAAACAGTTGTACAGTGCAATGAGAAAAAAAGGAAAATTTGTTTTCGGTAAATTAAAAATTGAAATTAGTACGTGATATGTGAATGTTAACGGTTGATAATGGTATAGCTGAAAATAGTATAATTAGCGAGTGTGCTTTAAATTGAAAAATTTAATAACTCTCGTATAGCAAAAATTTTCCTGCGCACGAAAATATTGCGGGAAAAGTCCTTAAATTAGAAATAAACCTTTCTTTATCTTCTTCAAATGGAATCATAATTTTATGTTGCTTTAGGATATTTCAAGGGTTAGAAACAAAATCTCGAGTTTTTCGGTTCGAATAAAGATTTATTCGAGATTTTCAATTTTGAGACAGTGTTAGAACGTTTAAATGGAAAGATAACATAAATTTGATCTTGCCAAGTTTGTTTTCCTTTGACATGTGAAAATTTTGCATAACGCGACCGCGATGAAGAAAAAAGAAAGCGATGTACAATTTTAAAACGCAAGATCCCTTTATCGCGAAGCATTTGGCTGGCTTCTCGGCTCGAAAACGCGAAACATTGGCACGCGTTCTCATGAACGAACGCGGCCCCGTCGTTCTCGCTTCCCTCACTTTATTTGCAACGCCGTTTCTGCTGACACCGCCGCTCGACGATGAATCCATCGAGATGGAACGTCGGTAAACAAAACGTTCACCTCTTTCGGTGAAACCCGCAGCTCTGCATGGAACAGAACGGTTCATAAGACCGTGCACGATGTACATACATACATATATACGTAACCGTAGAATCGTGAGCACGAATAATTCCGTCCCGTAGGTATAACATCGACGTTCAGAAATATGCAAAAAATATCAACAGAGCAATTAGTGAAAATTTTCACGTTAAATTGTCGTACTCGTTTCCCTTTTTGTCTCATTTACAATTTGCGTTAGTGACATTTTACAGAAATGAAGTTACCATTTTTACTGAAATATTCCTATTCCGAGTGCTTTCATTTTTATTACTATCGAGTAAAAAAATAGTCGAATGTTCGTCGTTTAGAATATTGATACCTTATCGTAGCTATTTCATTTGGAGAAATAAAGTTACCATTTTTACCGACATATCTCACCTCGAATATTCTTATTCTGAACG